TAGAATGACGCAGACCACACGTGGGTCTGTGGGGCTCTGAGGAATGTTCAAAGACCTTTCTGTTTTCATGTACGCAGGCTTGTAGCCTCTATTTTTTCCACGGCATGATATTGTTCTTTCTGTACTGGTGATTAACCGTTGCGAGTTTAATGACCGACAGTTGAATGACTGGCTGTGTTCTGGCGTGCTCAGCGCGCTGCGCCACGCATAGCAGCTGTACGGTGTCTCCCACAGCTGGCCTGTGGCTTTGTGAAAGTCAGTTTACATTCGTATTGTTGGCCAGTGGGCACGGCTGGTCCAGCTCGTGTGTTGAGACGTTGGTGTCCTCCGCAGTGAAAAGACCTTATGGGTAGCAGAAGATGATATACCTCTCTATAAAAAAACATTATGGTAAGGAAACAATTTCTTCCTAAATGAGTCCATGTAGCTGATTCAAATCCCTGAGGGATTTTAAATACAGTGGTAATGTGCAATATGTAGGTCACGGCAATATAGATAACTGGCTACGGGAAAAACCAAACCTGTGTGTGTGTGTGTGTGTGTGTGTGTTCTGTCAGATGTCATGTGGTTTGGCAGTGTGCTGAAAAGACAACAGATGGACACAGTCATGGAGTGACCTACACACACACACCTACACGCACTGTACACTGGACACACACACACCCAATGCCATCCTTCCTCTCTCCTCTCCTCTTACTCATTACTTCATCACTCTCCCTGTGAGCGTTTGCATCCGGTGTCATTCAGGCCTCAGTCCAGTAAGTCCGTCTGTCTGTCCACCTGTCCGTCCCTCAGTGAATGACTCTCATCCCTCGTTGGGTGTCAGCTCTGCGTTCATCGTTGCAGTGTTGGATCACCTTTTTCTTTACATCTGGAGCGGTTTCGGTGTTGTGCAGCTGTGTTTAGGGTTGAGGTAAACATTCTTTCCCTGATGGCTTGGAGAAAAAAAAACGTCAACAGGAAATTTTCTTTTTTTACTTGAGAGGTTTTTGTACCGTGGATTTTGGAATGAGCTGTTTTGAGCTGCTCAAAAATGAAATTCATCCGCATCACTGTAGCTGGCAAGGTAACCTCATCACACCAGGCATTCGTCAACATGCTGGCAGCATCAGTCACAGTTCCGTCTCTGAGCTTCCTTCCAATTTCATTTTCTGTACTGGGAAGTTTACTCCCCCGCTGGCATTTGGTTTACTGGATCAGTATAAGAACATCAAAAATACTGAATACACTTTTTAAAGTTTATTCATGTATTTGTCAATGACCATAACGTCTGTGGTCACCCATAGGTGGAGGCTGAAGCTGATAATGAATGACAATGCAGTAAATATAAAATGTAAAATAAAAATATGTCTCCATATTACTATTTAAAATATCCTTAAAGCTACATTTCATGCCATCATAAACCATTTTAAAAGTCCATATAGTTGCTTTAAATGATAAATGGAGATGCTTAAAGTATTACTCACTATGGATTATTTCATTTTTCCCTCTTCTTATTCCGTCTCAGGGATGAAGACGCCTCTCGGGCCCTCTCAGCTCCTGGGGCCGGGGCAAATATTTGCCTTTGGGGCAATGTGTCAAGAGCTGATGGAGCCTCCAACACCTACACCCCTCGGTGTCCCTGTCCAGCAGGCTCCATCTCCAGGTGATCGCTAAGTCTTATCTGTTGTTTCCAACCTTCTACTAATGTTTGACTCATCCTTGTTATTTTATCATTCAGTCTGACTGTTGCACTTTTAGTTCTGACGGATCCCTATTATTTTATTTTAGTCGTTTTCTTAGTTATGTAGTTTTCTCCTACAGTCCAACTGCTCTGTTTGTTTCACTAACAATCTTTAGTAGATTCTCTACAGTCTGAACAATCCTGCTGGTTTTCCCTCACTGTCCCACTCCTAATCAGTGTTTCCTGTTCACTTATCATTGTGGTTTTCTCCTACAGTTTGATTCAGCTGTGTGGTTTTGTCCTACATGCTACTATAGTAATAGTAATAGTTGTAGGTGTTTTCTACAGCGTGACGTCCCTGTGTTCTCCCAGGTCAAGGCGGGGCCTACTCACTGTGTGAGGTGTGCAACTTGCAGCTGGCGTCTCCTGCTCAGGCCCAGCTGCACTACAATGGCAGGTCTCACCTCCGGAGAGTGAGACAGCTCCAGGCAAGAGAGACGGGACAACAGGCAGCAGGTACACCTCAAACACTACGTCATGTGACTATAGTCTCCCAGTGAAATAACCAAACCATTAGTAGAAATAGCATCAGTAGTAGCAGTGGTAGCTGGCCGTGATCAGCAGCACTAGCAGTCGCAGTTGTAGCTGTAGCAGTCTATGGTTGTCAGATCCTTGTATTATATAATGGGGGTTGTTGTCTCTGATTCCAGCCGGGGTTCCCTTCAGGTCTGTTCCCCAGAACACAGGCCTCAGCTCCCAGCCAACAGGACTAACTCCGGCCTCAGGCCTCAGCGTTCCTCCTAGAACAACTGCAGGTAGGACCAGCGCTACGACTGACGGTTGAGAATAAAACTGATGTACCGGACTTCTATTAAAATGTGCACTTAAACTCACCAGAAATACTACAGCTTACATGCATTACATTCTGTACCTGCATGAGAGGAAACAAGTAGTCTTACTGACTGTCTGCTGAGTGAGAGTAACTTTGGCTCATTCGTCATCAACAGCTGCTTCCATCTGGGAGGTCAGAAAGTGACAGCTGTGTGTGTGTGTGTGTGTGTGTGTGTGTGTGTGTGTGTGTGTGTGTGTGTGTGTGTGTGTGTGTGTGTGTGTTGGTTGTCAAATTGACCCCTGAAAGAATAAACTGACCCAGCATTCAGATTTGCACAGCAGTTTTATCTCAGTATGGGTAATTGTTCGCTCCATCCAAACACCTGTCAGTCAGGTTGACAAGTTGAAATCTCGTAGTCCTGCTCACACTGTGGATAAAATAATATCCATGAGAGCTGTGGTGGTGTGTGGAGGATGAATGATACTCACAGATGTTTAGAAATCAATTTGAAAGTTGAACATCCCTCATACTATTTCTGAGTAGATACTTTTTACGTATATACGTTTATGTTGTTGCTTCAAGCTGAGAAATATTCCAGCACAATAACCCAATACACAGTTAATACTTGAAGGCCCAGGGTTAAACAATATGGCTTATTAACTACTGAGTCAGACTAGTTGTTGGCTCTTGTTTCCATTCAATAGAAGACCATTTGTGCATCGAAAGTGACCTTTCCATCGGCTTCTTGCCATATTACTAAGAAACGTTAGCAGCACAGTGAACGCCGTCATCGTGACGCCACCCTTTGGGGACACCACACAATGGCCTTCAACGTTTCAGCTGTCGTGATCTCAGACTGCATCTGTATCCATCTTGACTTTTTGCAACCAGAAGTGACCATGTTTGGAATACAGAGGAGTGACGTAGAGTCTCTCCGGTAGCGCCAGCAACCTGTCAATCACAAGTTAGCCCCACCATAAAGTGTTGCTTATTGGTTCCTTTCAATCTAAATGTGACTATAATTAACCAAAGGAACATCATGCTGTGTTGAACAGGACATAATGTTTGCAATGTATACTGGGGGAATAAATCAAGAAAGAAGTACTCACTTTGCCTCCTAATGGTCCTTAAAGATAATACAGGTTAAAAAAACTGTATTGGCTTCACTTTTCACAACCGGAGGTCATCAGCTGGTTAACTGCTACGGACTGGATGAAGCTTAATAACTAACCCACAGGCAGGAGACAGCTTCTAATAAGTCAGCATCTTTCCTAGAATTTCAAAATATCCCTCTAAGAAAACACATAGTTTATCATCTTAGCCCTTCAGTTGAATGAGCTGCCGTATTTTCCTTATTCTTATGGATTAATCATTGCTGGCAGTTTCCCAGTGCTTCCAGCGCCCTCTGCTGCTGGAATTCCAGTTGAGGCTTTTCCCATCGCTTCACTCGCTTGGTGATCAGCTGTGAGTGGATCAGTTACAAAACGTCTTCAGCGATGCAGACTGAGTTCTTGCAGTCAAACATGCGGTCAACAGAGTCGGCATGTTCCTGTGAGATGCAAACGAGTTAAAGTGGAGCAGAAAGCAGCGGGTCAATAAACTGGGACGCTGCTGCGTAACCACGCTGTCACTTCACAAAGACATCGCTTGCATTGATCTGGATCTTTGTGTCATCTTTGGTGCTAATGTGTCAATCTCTGCATAAATATGGCATGATGACTGCTCTTAAAATCACCTTTAAATACGGCGTTCCAGGTTGTTGTCCTGGTTCAGCCGTTCAGTCCTCATTGGAACTGACTTTTAGGTTGGACAAGAAAAAGACGTTACAGTCACGTAAAATAAGGTAAATATAATCCTCAAAAACAAACAAACAAACACACAGACACACGCACACCTAATTACAGGTCATGGGAGGATAATGTCAAGAGAGACAGAACACCGATACACAATTTCACACACACGTACAGTTGTGTGTGTAGAAGCTGTAATTACATACTGTGTGTGCATATCGGTGTACAGGATCCAATAACACTGATTAAAGATTAAATCTCCCATTACTGGACAACGCACAAACGTCCACACTCACTCACTCACTCACACACACACACACACACAATCACGCACACACTGGCCTAAATTTGTTGTCTTACTACCTCTCTGTCTGTCTCTCTCTGTCTCTCTCTGTCTCTTCCTCCGTGTCTCTCTCTCTCTGTCCATTACATGATGCTCGCTCGACCATGAAAAGCTCTTTGGCCTGAACTCAGCTCCTCCAGGCGTGTGTGTGTGTGTGTGTGTGTGTGTGTGTGTGTGTGTGTGTGTGTGTGTGTGTGTGTGTGTGTGTGTGTGTGTGTGTGTGTGTGTGTGTGTGTGTGTGTGTGTGTGTGTGTGCAGATGATGGGGGTGAGAGTGACCTGGCTGGCTGAGCAGCCTATCAGCAGTTAGGTCAGATGACATCACAGCCAATAATAACAAGGTTACAGTCGGTCTTACAAAACTGCTACTAACTGCTATATATTATAGTCTATATAATTGTGTAAAGTCAAGTTATGTTTCAAGTTTGGTATCGTATCTATATCATTTAAATATTCCGAGCGATGGAAGAAGTACTCAGATACTTTACTTAAGTGAAAGTATCAATTCAACAGTGTAGAAATATTCCAGCAAACATAAAAATTGTGCATATTCCCACGTGTTAACAGCATTTCCTCGCCTCTTACTCGGGAAGAACTAGTTTCAAGAACAGTATTGACAGGAGAAGAAGTACTTCACGTTGTAATCAAAGAGCTTGAGTACCCATAATTATTTAGTATCATCCACTGCTGCCGTTCACATTAATGATGCTGAAAACATACTCAATAATCAGGAATCAGGAAGTATGTGTGACATACAAGGAACACTTTTGCAACTAATTAATCAATTTGTAAAAATACCGAATTTCAATGAAACGAGCACTAAAATGAGAATTGTGATGTGAGAGATCACCGCTCTTTGTGAATAGCGGGCATCTGCTCTGTGGAGACCTCCATCAGCGCTCAGTGGCACTTAGCGACCACCAGGCGACAGTAGTCACACATTTACCCAAACACTGACCCGCACTCGCTGACGAAAGAAGTGGATTCCCATGATCCGCATCAGTCCAAACAAAGAGATCAAGTCACAGGAGAGAAATAAACTCCACCTCCTCTCCTTCGCTCACTTTCCAGTGTTTGGTGCTGGGAGAGTTTTGGCTGGTTACTGAGAACAACCACACGAATGCGCTTTGACTGTTATTGCTCTGCGTGTTTTCCGCCTGATGACCTCACACGTAATGACAAATACACGTTATTAATAGAAACATATTGTTGTGTGTGTGTGATGAAGAGACGTGTTGATCTGTGGCTTTGCTGCTCATGAATAGACCTCGCTGACAGATCCTCATAGTCCTCACGACGCGCTCACAAGGTGGAGGCGGCTGCATGTGACCAGATTTCAACCTGTGATGCTTCGCACACATAACGCACATCTGTGACCACAAGTAATACATGATGTGTTTATGAGGGCGAGCAGAACGAGTACTTGGTTGGTACTGGAGATTGGGGACTATGACTGTAAGGTTATTATTAGTCAAAATGTGGACGACCAAATCTACTGAAGCACCTATTAGAGGAATGACCAGAGAGTGTTTGGCAGTTAACTTGCTTCTTATTTATTTTTTATCCCCCTCCCTTTTGTTCTTTGTTGATTTTTTAGTTAAATGATTTGTTACTTTATTTATTTGCGGTTCAGTTTTCTTTAATTCCATAATTATTTTGTATTCTGTTGTTGAGCATGAATAGCCAGAAGCCTGTATCCTCCTCTCCTCCTCTCCTCCTGTCGCGATGCTTTGAACTGGCGGAGAGCGTGCGAGCAGCTCAGACGTAGAGCGGCAGCCAAACAGGGACTTCCACTGGGACGGAATCGCTGTCCTCACCCGCTCGCCCTGAACATCATCACCTCAGTGATGCGAACCCGCTGTGCGCTCTGTCTCTTCCTCGCTGCGTATCGCTCGCCCTCGCTGGTCCACGCGAGCGTCCCTCCGCGCTCACACAGGCAGACAGGTGGCCATTCTCTGCTTTTGGGTTTGGCTTTCCTCCGCTTGGCTTCTTGTGATCGGGGGAGCAGATGATTGAGGGGAGAGGGGGCGGAGGAGGAGGAGGAGGAGGAGGAAGGGGTGATACAGGCGTTTCCCTGTCGATGATGTGGAGGAGTTTCCTGAGTCGAGGTAGGAGATCCTTCTTCTGTCCATTTGTGTCGGGGACTCCACATTCAGCCACTTCCATCCTGAATGTGTGTGTCTTTCTTTTGGCCTGTAACGCGTGAGGTTTGTTGTTGTGGGTTTGTGAGGAACGGGTTGACCTGGACCTGAACCCTGACATGAGGTTGGAGTCTCTTCGCTTTGAGTTTGATTGGGGCTTTGTGGTACTTTGCTGTATTGTTGTGTCAGTAAACTGGATCCACGTATCAGCACATCACTGAACTACTTTTGTTTGAGCTAAAAATCTAAACTGTTTGTTATCTTGGTTGTGGTGTGAAAGTTGTGTATTAATGAAGAGGAACTGAGATGGAAGATTGTGGAAGTGATTGTGAAATGAACTAAAAAGGATAATGTTACTAGACTAAATATTTAAAAGAGATATGATTATATCTTAAATAACTGGTAAACGTTCAGATAAGATCAACATTCTGCTGTCTTTGTTTCCAAGGATTTCAATCTACAGATATGCACGTTCATATCGGGTTGGCAAGCTCCCAGTGACAACGTCTATCTTCAGGGGAATAATGAACACAATAAACGCAAGACATGAATTAAAGGACGTGTTAAATAAATTGTGGCTAGTTGTCCATGACGACCAGGACACCAACTGTTGTATTGCAACTTTGTTCTACGATGCTTTTCTTATTTATGGATCCATGGTTTTACATCAGAGTTAAGAATGATTATATATCAGAAAAGTTACTCGCTATTTTCTGTGTGATTTCCTGCTAGTGTCAGCGATATATTCCTTTCTGCTCCATGCAGTCATGACCTCCATCTTTACTGACAACGACTGTTAGGAATAAACAACAGAACTACGTAGTTGGGTTCAGGAACCGATGAAAAGATTGTGGTTAAGATAACTGAGGAAGTGCCGTAACTGAAGTATGATAGATGTGTGTCAAATAAATCATCGCGCACATCCCATTTCATGGATGACATGCAATATAGTGTCATGGAATGCAAATAGTGTCTCCTTACTTTTCGTAGGAATAGGTGAGCATGCTGGATGAGACCAGCCTGTCTAATTTAATCCGTCCAATAGTTGTTGAGATGTTTTACAAAGGATGAAGAGTCCGAGGATCCCAGCAATCAATAGGCTTCATCCTCTGAGGACCAGTGTGAGAGTCCTGGAACCAAGTGTTGGAACAGAACTACATTTCTTCTACAGCTATTGTTTTGTCTTGGTCTGTATGCCAACTTTTGAAGTGCAGATGGAGGCGTATCTGTTACAAACGCTGGAACTCGCTCTGCAGCTTCTCCTACTCTACTTGCTCCCTCGTCAATGATGAGGATTTCTCTTCACGCACACGCTAATAATCTGATGTTACACAACAATGTCGTTAGCAGAGTCAACCGTTTGGATCATGTTTATACTTCTGTTAAATTTCTGGAAGAAACTGTCTTTGGTTACAGGAGAAGTCAGCGTTTTATTGGTCTGCCTAATCTGTGGCTACTTCCTGTCTGACATTCCTCTCGTAATAGATAGCGAGGTTGCTGTGATTAGCTACACACTGCTGCTAATCATCACAACACTGTGTGGCTCTGTGAGTCTCTATTACACACACACACACACACACACACACACACACACACACACATGAGCTTTACCCCTCACTGTTTCTTTTAAATATTTTTGTTTTTCTGTTAAAACAGCTAAATTTAAAAGGTCCATATGGCAATCAGGTACACCTGATGTCCAGTGTTTCCATGGTAACAATTAGGGACACTTGTGCTACATTCTTCTACAATCGTGGGCAAGTTTTTCCAATAAATGGCCACGTAGCCATTTGAAATACTGGCTGGAACAGAGCAGAGTGAGTCACTGCAGGTCCGCCGTGTTTATCAGTCTGATAAAAGTGTTAATTTAACCCAAATCCATTAAAAGAATTTCCCATCCTGACGAAGGACCTGACTGTTCACGTACAAAATCTTCTAGAGCAAGAAATATTTAAGAACCCACAGGTCAAATTTCCAATTCCATTTGCATGTTTTAGTTGTGTCAAACGCGTTCATATACAGCGTTCTAATCAGATGATTCTGCGGTTTTCTTTCTACTGAGTTTCAGACTGAAGCTGTCCTGTCTGCTTTCATATCCCTGACTGTCTGATGCGCGCGTCCGTCCATGTCTTTGTGTGTGCGTGTGTGCGTGTGTGTGTGTTATTTGGGATGTGGAAGGATCCAAACGTGACCTACTTAAACACACACACACACATGGAGGCTTGTTATGCTAATGTGTGTGATTCTCTCATTATAATAATGCAGTGTGATGTCTAATGCTGCCGTCAGCAGAAGCGCACTTTAAGTCCGTGTCGCTCTCCCTCACTGCGGATCAGGGATGTTTGAAGATGCAGATGAAGGTTGTGGGACATGTTCTCCTCCCAGTAGGATCACGGGTGTGTTAATATGCAGCATTCTTACCGCTTTCATCTACAGCTGCAGGGATTTCCACTGCAGTGGGAAGCAAGTGAGGGATCCCATCCGATATTGTAAAGACCTCAAGAGGCAGAACTGGATCCTTAAAAGCCACAGTTCACCTTCACCTCTGTGGGAAAATAGACTGTTGGGAATGACACTAATTAACATAGTGTTTGTTTACCCGGAACACCAATATAAAAATGACAGTTCGTAGTTAAACGAGTTGATATGTGCTGCAAACCAGCGGTAATCGGAAAAAACAACCGGAACCTTTTTTTGTTGGATTCAGCAATTTACTTTTTTTTAAAACAACAAAAACTTGATGAGGTGTATTTACGACATAATTTAACAAAATGTTAAAATCCTTAAATTTGTGTTATGTCCTGCATCCAATTAAAAACAAGTGAAGAAGTGCAAAGATGCAGATTCATTTCTGCACGTAAGGACATCCTGCCGAACTCTCTAAGAACAAGAAACATTAATAATAATAAACATTATAAGTTATTTTTGAAGAAAAATTTGAAGAAAAAGTCGTGGCCTATCAAATGGAAATATTTTAGTTTTTGAAGATATCTTCTATAAAAAATAATCATTTAAAACTTGAATGCAACTGCTCAGGCGTCAGAAGGATGTGGCGAGGGGGCGGGGCTTCAGACGCAGTTAAAGGAGCCCTTGAACCACTGGAACATCTGATATCACACTTATTTCAAAGCTGTGTGAGTGTGCTGAGAGGAAAAGGTGTGAACCAACAACACACCAGACACACACTTTCTATGTTTCCCTATTTTTTTTTTCCTCACTCTTCTTTATACTCTCTTTTTTTTCTAGTCACCAACGACAGTTTCTTATCAGTGGGAGAAATGGCAGCTGAGGATTAAGAAGAAGTAACACACACACACACACACACACACACACACACCTGACGCTCAGGATTTGTGGGTTCAGATAGTGATGACACATGCCACTCTTAGTCCAGTCACCTGATATACTCTCTCTCTCTCGCTCTCTCACACACATACACACACTTTGAGTTGCGGGTGTGCGTGGCTTATGCGGTTGGTGAAAAAGACGAGGACGGATTAACAACACACTTCGGTCCAAGCCCAGTACAGCGTAGGACAGCGGAGAGTACGGCGGAAGACACGAGGCCAGAGGGGGGGATCAAAAAGTGAATCTGCTTTGAGATAAAGAGAAAAAGACGCCTGGTTCAGGTAGGAACCTTTTATTTTTAGAGAATACCTTCATCTTCAATGCCGTACTCCTCTTCCTCAGGCTTCATCACTTCCTGCGGTCTGTGTGGGAAAATGTCTCTCTCTCTGTGGTCGGGTTCACTTTAACTGCGGCCGCTCACATCACTTCACAGTCTGATTAACAGCACCAGATGCTCAGTTGGATGATGATATAATGAATCTGTAATAATGACGTCTCAACCCCTAAATCACAGGAAATGCCACATCGCACAACTCGTCTTCATTACTTTACATCTGACGATTCCCTTATGGATGTTGATCGGGAATCCTCTTGTAACATAATTCACACTGAACCGACTAGGCTTCATTTTGATTTGGTATTCAGGTTTTGATTCTCCTTCGTTCAACTTGATATACACACATATGTGCATTTATTAAATATGACCATGACTGAATATAATATAACACTGATGTAATTCCACTGCATGATGAGTTTACCACGTGATGGATAAAGTATTGCACCTAACTACTCAAATTATCAGTCCGCTGTATTAGGTTTTTAGCCCCGGGGCAATATACTGTATTCAAGAGAAGTGTTTGTTGTGTGAACTCCTATTTTCACATCCATTGCTCTTCATTGGGACAGCTTATATCAAACTGGATGGTTCAACAAAGCGAGTATTAGTTCTATGTTTCGCATTGACAGGCTTTTATTCCCATCAAAGGTCCGCCTGTCAACCCGGCTTACTAATGTATCTTCTCATGGATTTAAAGTGAATCCGCCCTGCGTGTTTAAAGCCGTACAACAACAAAAGGGAAATGTTGATTAACCCCATGACTGCCACAGGATATCCAAATATCTCAAATTCTCTGTTATGACTGAGACACTTTGATATCTGATATAATATATTTAGTGCGTAACTGTTGACTCACCTCCAACCAGCATGCAGCTCATCGTGACAGACGCCGTTCGCTCGGCACTTTTCCTCTCACAGTAGATCCGGGCCGCCGTGTAACGCTCGCAACATGGCAAGCTGTTGTGCATCCTCATGTCAAAGGCAGATGTAGTTTGTCTTTCGGTCTGCTGCAGTATCACTATCAGTTAAATGCACCTCAGCGCCTGGGTCCATCAATTTGTGGAAGCGGATATTTATTTTAAACAAAACTCCGAAGGGCTTCCATCTTAGTTCATTCCTTTCTTCTTACCTTTGTGGAAATGCAAACCAGGAGATAAACACAAGCACACATGATAATGAGATTGTGGAAGATTATTGTCTAAACAATCCTTGGGATCCCTGAGGAGGTTCAACGAGTTCCTGAAGTGGTGATATTGTTTGTTTATGATTGTGCATTTTGGCT